AGAGTGTCTACTATGTGTCAGGCACAATGCCAGGCATTTATATATATTATCTCTAATTCTTATGATAACCCTAAAAGATAAATATTTCACCATATTTCAAGTGAAGAAACTGAGACTCAGAGGCTAAATTATCTACCAAATGCCGAACAGGTAATTAGCGGTTTACCTGGGATTCAAATTCAATGCTGTCTTTTCAAGTTCAGTCCATTTCTAATTTACAGTAGTTTTCTCTGCATGCTGGGGTGATTTTTATTTTCTTCTTTATATTTTTCAGTATTCTCCAAATTGTATACAATGAAATTTATTACTTTTTATGCTATTATTATCTCAGTCACATTTTATTTTTCAATAAAAGACACAAATTTCCTCCAATGCACATTGAAATTTTGAATCTGATTATACATTTAAAAAAATCATATCTAGATTTCTCTGTACTGAAATTCAACATTTGGTGAAGAAAAAACATTTCAGGAATATTGGTGCCAACCTGAAGATATTTTTATAATCTTGACAAACAACAAATGCTACTTCAATTCTTATCTTTTTAAGTGATATTTTTTAAAAGAAAAAATATTGTAAAAACAAAACAATGCACTGAACATTCAAGCCTGAGAGACACCAGGTTGAATTCTAGCTCTCTGCATGAGCTTTGGCAGGTTGCTTAGCTTCTCTGACTACCAGCGTCTTCATAAACAAAATGAGGTCACAGTAAGGCCTAGGCTGCTTATATCACGAGGCTGTAATGAGGATCAAATAAGAACCTACTACACATATACTGTATTTATTAAGCACCTACTAACTGTCCAGTGCTTGACAGTGAGAACACAAGAGAAGACACAGTCTCTGCCCTTATGGAATTTAAATCCACTGACATGTAAAACAATTTCAATACAGTGGGACAAGTGCTGTGACAGGGAGTACCAAGTGCTGTGGAGCAGAGAGAGGCATCTAACTCAGTCTGGTAACTACAGGAAGGGATAGCTAAGCTGGCACCTGAAGGAGGAGTGGGAACTGGCCAAGATGGGGGCTGGGGAGAGAGACAGAGGAAGAGCACGTGCTAAGGCCTGAAGGAGAGGCAGCATGGCCGATTAGTGCTGGAGCAGAGGGTATGTGGGGGAGTGATGGCAAATCAGCCAACGGAGTGAGCAGAGGCAGAGCATGTGCAATCTCACCATCAGAGTATCATCATCACCATCAATCATAATGAATGTGTCTAGTCCTAGACGTAAGTTTATCTTGTTTTATCCATTGAAATAAGAGTAGGGTCCAGCCGGTGTGGCTCAGTGGTTGAGCATCAACCTATGAACCAGGAGGTCATGATTCGATTCCATTCAGGGCACAAGCCTGAGTTGCAGGCTCGATCCCCAGTAGGGGGTGTGCAGGAAGCAGCAAATCAATGATTCTCTCTCATCATTGATGTTTCTATCTCCCCCTTCCACTCTGAAATCAATAAAAATATATTTAAAAAATAAGAGTAGTAAAGCAAGTTCTCCCTTCTTTGTAAAATCTGTTAGTCAATAAGTATTGATTGTACTCCTATGGTAACAGCTGTTAAAGATACAGATCCAACAACCAACCTGGCTCCTGCACTGGGAGAGCCCAGAGAACTCACAGAGCAGATGCAGAGTCTTACCCAGTGGGACCAAAAAGGCAAAAGATGTTCCTGACATCAAAGTCCTGACCCACTGTTCTCCCCAAAGCTAACCCTAAGGCCTACCTTCTGAAAGAACTGTCATTTCTCTATGAAGTCTTATGAGCCACAATGCCCCCAAAGTCACCAGGTCTGCTCCATATTTTGGCAGAGCCTATAGAGAAGTGACCAGCTCCTACATCTGGTATGTGATATCAGGTGATCATTTTCCCACCAAAAAGGAGACTTTGCTGGCTAACAGTTCGGCTAACTCAGCTTATGCTCCTCTCCCAACCACTCTAGAGTTCTTTTCAAGATCTAGGATTCACTCCTCTTCACATTCTTTAAGATTTACTTCCTTCTCTAGAAGTCACAGAGAATTCTAGAGAAGGAATAGCAGTGAGAGCAAGCTGATGAGTATAATGATCAATTCAGCAGTTTTCTCAGTCATCAGCTGGCTGAGGGCCCCCAAGCAAATGGAAACTGAGAAAATGAAACTGAGGCAATGAAAGTAAGGGGGATGGACACTCTTAAGGAACAGCCCAGGACTAAGAAATGTGAGGCAGAGGAGGAGGCAATCAGGAGGATCCTGGGGAGACTGAGCCCATAACATTTACTTCTCTGAAGCAGTAAAACAGCAATTATAGTAAACACTACTACTACAAGTAGTTATAGGACACACACGCTTATATGGTGCTTACCATATGCGAGGTAATGTTCTAAGCAATTTACAAATACCACATTTTACATGTACTAACTTATGTAATCTTCACAACTCTATGAGGTAAGTATCATTATTTGCACATTTTACAGATGAAGAAACTGAAGCACAAGGAAACAAGATAATTTTCTATGTGTGCTATGATGTCAAAAGGTTGGTCATCACTGCTCTTACATAAAAGGAGTATATTATCGCCACTTTATCATTATTGTATTAATCTGAAACCTAATTTATCAGAAGTTTTTTCTTGCTCTTAGATAGCTTTGTATTTTGTGTTTTGGCATATTATGTAGGAAGAACTACAAACCAGTCCAACCACATTATTTCATGGCAGTTCTTGTATCAGGTACAAGGTTACATTCTTTTTCTGCCAGACCTAATAGTTGGCTTATTTGGTGTCTGATAATATCATTACTACGTAGGGCCAAGGTCAAGGAAGGGGTACATTCAAACAGAAGCTAGTCAAATTTAACACGATGGATAAGAGGAGGTACCCGTGAAATCAGCTCAATCAAAGGACAGTCTATAAGTGTGATTCCAGGGGCAAAGGCATTTCACAGGTTTTCCCAAGAGCCCTGTGTGTAGTAAGGCTGGACAGCATTATGCAGATTGCAGTGTCCCACTCAACTACAGTAAAAGAAGTATGAGGCCGGCTGAGGTGCCAGGAAGGTGGTGATTCACAACAGGCCTCGAAATGGGCTGGGGTAGTAAGATTCTCAGAGGCAAAAAGTCTAGAATCAGGCCCATCTTCTTCCCCTGCTCTGATACTGGGATCACAAGCAGCCTTCAGAACTGTCACTGCATCTCCTGGTGGAAGGAATGACAAGAGAAAGGGCAAGAGGGGTAAAGAAAGTATGTGTTTAAGGCATGGCAAACAGGAAAATAGAATTACCATATGATCCAGCAACTCCACTTCTGGGTATTTATCCAAAGAAAACAAAACACTGACTTGAAAAGGTATATGCATCTCCGTGTTCAATGCAATATTTACATTATTTACCAGTATAATAGCCAAGATATGGAAGCAATCTAAAGTCCATTGATGAATGATTAGCACACACACACACACACAATGGAATATGATTCAGCCATAAAAAGAATGAAATCTTGCCATTTGTGACAACCTGGGGAAGGCAAGGAAGGCCTATAACTAAGGAAGAGGAAGAGAAAGAGAGAAAGAAGCAGAACTGGTCCT